CACACCGCCGTGCGTGCCTCTACTGCCGCCTTGTGGTACCGCGTGGTGACGCCGCGTGGGGTAACGCCGCATCAACCCCGCCGGTCACAGACCTGAGGCAACTTGAAGCTTTCATCCAGCAGTGGAATGACCATGGCTGTTTCATGATGACGGTGAAGATATAGGGCGACCTTGCAACTTTTTGAGGTTCGTTTGGGGGACTTTCTGCTTCAAGGAGCCTGAACAGACTGTTGGGGCAAGTGCTATGAAGGCCGGCACGGCACACGAGGAAGTGGGTGGCCAGCACCACGCCCGTACCAAGTACTCATTTGAGGCCGAGTCGACCTAGGGCAGGCCCAGGACCGGTTCAGATAATCGTCACCGGTGTTGGCCGTGAGCGGGAATCGAACCCGGGCCGCCGGGTTCGTGGCGTCGCGCGCTAACCGCCGCTGACGCACACACGGACACACACGGGGCCCTCACCTCAAATCCGCGCTCCTCCTCCGACTCGCTGGTCTCCGACTCGGACGCGTCGGCCCCGTTGGCTTTGGGCTTCCCCTCGTCGCCGTGCCCACCGGCCGCCCCCTTCCTCAGCGCCACGGCCACCTTCATCATCTCCCTCTCCAGGAAGTCGACGTCCCCCGCGGCCCCCTCGGCCTCCTCCCCAGGTGCCCCGCCCGAAGCCTGGGCCTCGCCTGCGCCCGTCGCCTCGGCCCCGTGGTGGGGAACCGCTCGGGGCGGGGCGGCCACGCGTCCGACGACCTCCTCCTCCGCCGCCGCTCTCTTCTCCGTCTTTGCTCTCTCCTCCTCCTCCTCCCCGCTCCTCCTGCCGCCCGACGAGGGAGCCGTCTGGACGCAGGGCCCGGTGCGAGCGTTGCCGTCGCCACCGCCGCCCGAGGAGGATGAGTCGTCCTTCTCGTCGGAGGAGCCCTTGAGCAGGTCGGGCTCGCCGGTGATCACCACCGTCTTGTAGACGACCCGCGACATCGACACCGAACTGCTGCTGCTCATTCGCTGCTGCTGCTGCTGCTGCTGCGGCTGCTGCTGCAGCGGCTGCTGCTGCTGCGGCTGAAGCTGCTGCTGCTGCGGCTGCTGCTGCTGCGGCTGTGGCTGGTGCTGTGGCTGCCGCTGAGGCTGCACTGCCTCCGCCCTGGAGCCTTCCTCCTCCTTCTTCTCTATCCTCTGCGGGGGACAAGCGGCCGAGGCGCAACGCGGGAAAAAAGTGAGCGTCTGGGGGAAAAGTCCGAAGGCAGAGGTTGGTGGGCCACACAAAGATGGAGCTCGCCTGACGCGCCAACGCACAAGGGTCCGACGAAGCGCCCGCAAGCCGCAGCGTCACCAGCAGGGTTTCTGGCACCCCACCGGGGAGATGTTGACTACCTCGCCTGGTATACAGGTCGGGGATTCAATCCTGGCTCTTGACGCCTGCTGCTGTATATTTGGAGTTTGCGGTGTCTCTCTCTCTCTCCCCGTGGTTGCGTGAATTTTTCTTCGGGTCCTCCGGTTTTTCCCTTCCACATTTAGAATCAATATCGCCACACGCTTAGAGTAATTTGGCCGCTTATAAATTTCTACGTGATGACGATAATCCACTTCGTTGAGCTATCATGTGTAATGGCCAGGGTCAATTCTGAAACAGAACGACGTAGCTCAAGTGGGGCCTTACCTGGTAAAATAAAAAATATAAGCTTAAATAGTTTTTAGTGAGAGTGGCCTCCCCCTGCCACGCATGGGGGCTCAGCTGCTACTGCGGATGCTGCTGTGGCTAGTGAGCTGCGGCTGCTGCTGCTGCTGTGGTTGCTGCTGCTGCACAGGCGGCCATGGGGAGCCACTCCGAGTGCCGCCAGCGCTGCGCCGAGTCGCCCTGATGACTCCCAGAACACGAGCCGTCTTGCAACCGTTTGTGCAAAAAAAAATTCAAGCATCTACGAACTACATGGGTCGAAGGAAGATGTTTCAATAAGTATAACCCGTAGAAACAAAGTTTTTCACTATAAATCCTTTATATGCGTGGCAGCGAACTTAATATAAAGGATTTAAAAAATATATATGCCTGTGGAGGACGCGGGGATCGATCCCACGACCTTTGCCATGGGAAGCGAGGACGCTACCAACTGCGCTACTCCGCCACGGCCTATGGAGGGGTTAAGCTCTGGGCTCTTATACTGTGACGTTCAGCCAAAGTGATGAATGAGTTCTATTTGAATATATGTAAAATACATTTTTTTTGCCTAAAAAGTATAACATTTTGGGAATTTTTTTTCTCGAACATTAATTGTCTGGCACAACGAGTCTGTGTGGAAAATGTCAGCTCGATTGGATCACGGGAAGTGGGTAAAAAACGACCGAAAGATTTGCACGGTCGTAAGCAAGCAAGCACGCAAGCAAGCAAGCGAACTTAATATAAAGGATTTAAAAATGGTGCAGAGGCCAGAGGGCATCCCCCATCGCACTCCAAGGCGACCGGGGAATGGCTCCGACTGCCGGCAACGCAGCTTTACCTGGGGCCTGCCCACCATCAGATGGTCAGGGACTCCAAAAGCGCAAAGAATGACCCGGAGTACTGGCCTATTTATGGTATCATGGGCTTTGACCAGGTCAATAAAGCTCCACACACTCATGCAAAGATATCCCATATAGCCTTAGCAAGTGCTTAGCAAGTGTGTTTAGCGAGCACCTATGAAGGCCGGCACGGCACACGAGGGGGTTGGTGGCCAGCACCACGCCTGGCCGCCAGATACTCGTTTGAGGCTGAGTCAACCTAGGGGAGGTCCAAGACCGGTTCAGACAAGCGTCACTGGTGTCGACCGTGAGCGGGAATCAAACCCGGGTCGTCGGGTTGGAAAGCGCAGCACGCTAACCGCTGCACCACCACTCCCTACTATCTCCACCCACAAGCCAAAGAGCCTTAACAGACCTTTGGGGCAAGTGCTGCACACAGACACACAGAGACAGACGCACAGACACAAATATGCACAGACGCACAGACACAGACGCACAGACGCATAAACGCACACACGTGCCGGATGACAAGTGACAGCTCGCCCCCCCCCCACCCCACCCCCCGTGGGCATCGTGTGTTCATATCGCCGGTCTCTCCGCTCGCTCGTTAGCCAGCACGGTTATCGTCACGGTGGCGGTGAATCTATCGTCACGGCGGCGGCGAGGCTATCGTCACGGCGAATCTATCGTCACGGCGACGGTGAGGCTATCGTCACGGCAACGGCGGCACCTGCGAGATCTCTACGAGCAGCTCGTCCGCAAACTGGGCGGGGGGGTCCCGCGGGTGCGGGCCCAGGGGCCGCTCCGCCCACGCCGCGTCGCCCGGCGCCGCCGTGGCCACCTCGTGTGGCTGGCCGCTGGGCGCGCTCGAGGGCGCGGGCTCCTCGGGCAGCTGTGCCCAATAATCCTCCTCCTCCTCCTCATCATCCTTCAGGGTCACGGCAGCAACGGCGGCGGCAGCCAGGGAGGAGGTGGAGGAGGAGGGGCGCATGCGCCGGAGGTGATGGGACACCGTGATGGTACAGCATTCATGATGGTACATCATTCATGATGGTACATCGTGATGGTTCATCATTCATGATGGTACATTGTGATGGTACATCACGATGGTACATTGTAATGGTTCATCATTCATGATGGTACATCGTGATGGTATATCACGATGGTACATTGTAATGGTTCATCATTCATGTTGGTAGATCGTAATGGTACATTGTAATGGTACATCATGATGTTACATCATCCGTGTTGGTACATTATAATGGTACACCAATGATAATGGAACACCATGGCAAATAACACGGATGATTCATCGTATCGTTACCATCGTTCGCAACGTACACCGGTTACGATGGTGGGTCATGGTGATACATCGGTGAATCACGTGACGTGACGTCATTCAGGACGTAACACCGTTCAGATGTGACATCGTTCAGATGTGACATCGTTCAGGAGGGGGTGGTGTTGTGGTGTCAAGACAGAGGCAGGGTTAGTGTTGGCAGGGCAGAGGGTCGTGGGTGTTTTGGGGAGAGAGACACGGACGGGGGCGGTGGGGTTGGAGGCGGCGTTGGTGGGTTTTGAGATGAATGAGCAAGCGGCTGTCACCAGGGGGCAATGGGGGTGCGTGGAGCCGAGCGACGGGGCGAGGAACCGTGAACAGCAGCAGTGGGGGAGGCAGCAGCGGCGGCGAGGAGAGAAGCAGACGTTAGAAGCAGGTTAGTGAGAAACACACATTCACTGGGTTTGCAGTTCGGTGCAAGAGCAGAAGTGACTTCATTAGCTCAAGGCTCCCCCCATTCTCCATGTCTTGCATTCAGTGACTCTGCAGTGCGTGGATGTGAACACATCTCGTGGTCTTGACTGGCTTAGCCATCTTCGAGGAGGTGTCAGTGTGTGGTGCGTGGTGTGCCTGCCCAAGCTGTCCCTGGGGCTCGCTGTTGTTGTTGCTGTGCTGTTGTTGTTGTTGTTGTTCGTGCTGGGCTCCGTTTTTTTATGTTACCAGGTAAGGCCCCACTCAGCTAAGTAGCGCTTTTTCAGAAGCCACCTGGCCCATCATAAACGATAGCTCAGCCAAATGGCTTATCGCGTGGAAATGTACAGCGGAGGCCAAATACTCTAAACGCACGTTGATTCTAAATGCGGAGAGAAATCCACGCGACCGCGGGGAGAGAGAACATGCAGACTCAGGGTAAGGGTCGAACTCACGACCTCCTGTATACCAGGCGAGGGAGTTAACATCTCGGCGCCCCAAGTTCGGCTTCGCACGCGGTCAGCGACAGGACCAGCCGGCGCTGGAAGTCTGCGTCGGGGCTTTGCGAGTGTAACCCGCTGACCCTGCCCATACTGGACGTGTGTGACAGAGAGCTTCATAGCTCATCGGATTCTTCCTCCGACAGTCGAAATAAAATTTGTATTCTGATTCTGAGTGGATCGCAGCGGCCGATACAAAACGCCGCTTGGAGCCGGCGGCGTTCCCGCCCAGCGGCAGAGCGAGCGGCAGAGCGAGCAGAAAACGCTTTGAGTTTGAATCCTGGCTGGGGGTTGTGACTCGGACCCATCATCGCGCTCCAGGGCCAATAAAACAAGAACAGGTGACCCCCGACTTACGACCCCCGCTTTTGCGACCTTTCTTCCGACCAAAACTCCCGTCTACGACCGCCTAGCGACTGCTACCGATGCCGAGTCGATTGGCGCTGCGTCCGAGCACGCCACTCGCAGACGCTAGCGCCATCGGGTGACGAGTCTGCGCATGCCACGCGCTGCTTTGCTCTTCTGCCGAATGCGCATGTCCAGGGTAGCCCGACAGTCTGCAGCTGCGCCGGGAGCAAACGCAGCAGCGTCTCTTTCTCGACACTCTTCACTTCTTTGTAAAAAAAAAATGTTCGCCTTTTAATACATCTGAGAAGAGGAAATGTGATGCATGTGCAGAAAAGTACTTAAGGATTTTCCAATGTGTTTGTTTTTTACTTAATAAATGTTGCTAACAGTTATGTTAAGTTACAATAAATGTTTGTTGGCCAATTTTGGTATTTTTACGGGAGGGAATGGGTTTCCAGGAACAGAACCCCAATGTCTGACAACGCGCCCTATGGGAAGCGAGGGTTCGACTTACGACGCCTCGACTTGCGATCGTCGTCCAGGAACCAATTAGGTCGTAGGTGCGGGGGTCGCCTGTACCACGTTGTGGGAGAAGCTAACGGCGCCTGACCCGTGGATAGACTCCCCCCCAACCCCTGCCCCACGGATGGTTTCATCAACCAGGAACCAGCGCAAAAGAAACAGCGACCCTGGCACCAACGTCGGTGTGGCCAGAGGTGCGTCGACTTCCATCGACCGCGGCCGCCAAAGGAAGCCGTCGCCGGCTCGACCACGTCCACACGGCGATTCGCGAGCCGTGCGCTCGCACAGCGGTTGCCGCCGCCGATCGTCCGCCCGCCAAATGTTTCGTGAAGGCGAGAGGGCCGTTTGCCGGACCGGTTAAAAACGGCGCGGGCAACGCATGCCGCCGAGAAGAGTCGGCCTCGAGCCGTAGGTGACCCCGCACAACTATCGCCCCCCCCATCTCGAACCCGAGCGCGATTTCAAAGGTCGCAGAGCACCTGCGTCCGAAGCGGTTCCTTCCCTGCGCCGCTGCCACGGGCAGATTCAAACCGTTGCGGTCGGCGTACCAGAAGTCGCGCGGCGCCGAGACGGCTCTGGCTAAAGGTCACCGATGACCTCGACAAGTTCACGGACGAGCGGTGCGCCGCGTTGTTTGGTCAGCCTCGATCTCTCAGCCGCTTACGACACCACTGACCACCAGACACTCATCGGACAGGCTAAGGTCAAGGTTCGGTCAATCGCAGTTCGTCAAGCTGGGCGACGAACAGACATTGCCCGTGCCCTGCCTAGTCGGCTATCCACAGGGGGTCTCCCCCCCCCGTACCCGCGCTCTTCCTATTTTCAACATACGTCTCTCATCGTATTAACATCAAGTTCCGCCGATATGCCGATGATGTACTATTGTACACCGCAGTGAAGTCACAGCTAGATATGGAGAGCCTCGGCAGTCCATGAAGATCGCACGCGCGCGGTGCGCGAGTAGTTTGCACGGAACGAAAGGCTTATTAATCCAAAAAAATCGGAGGTTCTGCTCGTTGAGTAAAAAGTCTACGGATCTCTGTGTGAGTCTACAGGTCTCTGTGTGAGTCTCTGTGTGAGTCTACGGGTCTCTGTGTGAGTCTCTGTGTGAGTCTACGGGTCTCTGTGTGAGTCTCTGTGTGAGTCTACGGGTCTCTGTGTGAGTCTCTGTGTGAGTCTACGGGTCTCTGTGTGAGTCTCTGTGTGAGTCTACGGGTCTCTGTGTGAGTCTCTGTGTGAGTCTACGGGTCTCTGTGCGAGTCTCTGTGTGAGTCTACGGGTCTCCGTGTGAGTCTCTGTGTGAGTCTACGAGTCTCTGCGTGAGTCTCTGGGTTTCTGTGGGAGTCTGCAGGTTTTTTTGTATTCTTTGCCGGTGTAACTTGCTGACCCCCCCATACTGGATATCTGTGAAAAAGAGCTTCATAGCTCATCGCATTCCTCCTGCAGTCGAAATAAAGACACTGATTCTGATTCTCTTTGCGAGTCTACGGGTCTCTGTATGAGTCTACGGGTCTCTGTGTGAGTCTATGGGTCTCTGTGAGCTCTGTGCAAATCTACGGGTCTCTGTGTGAGTCTATGGGTCTCTGGGTGAGTCTGTGTGTGAATCTACGGGTCTCTGTTCGAGGCACTGTGCAAGTCTACGGGTGTCTCTGTTTGTCTCTCTGCGTGCGAGGGAAGAGGATGCCTCTGCCAATCGGTGCTGGGGGCTGTGGGGGGGGGGGGGGGGGGGGGGGGGGGGGGGGGTTCGGACCTCCGTGCCGGGCTGGCCGTGCCGGTGCACGGGCGACGGCTCCTGCAGGCGGATGTCCCAGCCGCCGGCCGGCGGCGCCGTCATGGCGCCGGCCGCGCCGTCGGGCCGCGACTCCAGGAAGGAGCGCTTGAGCTCGCTGAGGCTCGCCTGCCGCTTGAGCAGCAGCTCGTCCGGCCGGCGCTCCAGCTCCTGCGGGAACCGTCGCCCACCACCACCCCAGCGGTTAGAGGGCGGCCGCGGTGACATGCATGCGTGTCGGTGTGTGTGTGCGTGTTGGATGTGTGTGTGCCTGTCAGTGTGTATGTGTGCGTGTCGGTGTGTGTGTGTGCGTGTCGGTGTGTGTGTGCGTGTCGGTGTGTGTGTGCGTGTCGGTGTGTGTGTGTGCGTGTCGGTGGGTGTGTGCGTGTCGGTGTGTGTGTGCGTGTCGGTGTGTGTGTGCGTGTCAGTATGTGTGTGCGTGTCGGTGTGTGTGTGCGTATCGGTGTGTGCGTGCGTGTCGGTGTGTGCATGCGTGTCGGTGTGTGTGCGCGTGTCGGTGTGTGTGTGCGCGTGTCGGTGTGTGTGTGCGTGTCGGTGTGTGTGTGCGTGTCGGTGTGTGTGTGCGTGTCGGTGTGTGTGTGCGTGTCGGTGTGTGTGTGCGTGTCGGTGTGTGTGTGCGTGTCGGTGTGTGTGTGCGTGTCGGTGTGTGTGTGTGCGTGTCGGTGTGTGTGTGCGTGTCGGTGTGTGTGTGCGTGTCGGTGTGCATGTGCGTGTCGGTGTGTGTGTGCGTGTCCGTGTGTGTGTGCGTGTCAGTGTGTGTGCGTACGTTCTGTTGCACGTCGGTGTGTGTGCGTGCACGTGCCGTTGCGTGTCGTGTGTGCGCGTGTGTCGGAATGTGAGCATGTTGGTGCATCTGCATGGCAGTGTGCACGCGTGTCAGTGTGTGTGTGTGTCGGCGTGTGTGTGTCCTTGTGTGTGTGCGTGTCGGTGCATGTCGGTGCGTGTGTCGGTATGTGTGCGTGTCGGCGTGTGTGTGTCCTTGAGTGTGTGCATGTCAGTGTGTGTGTACGTGTCGTTGTGCGTGTCGTTGTATGCGTGTTGGTGTGTGCGGGTTAGTGTGTGCGCATGTCAGTGTGTGCGTGTCAGTAAATGTCAGTGTGCGTGGCAGTGTGCGTGTCAGTGTGCGTGTCAGTGTGTGTGGCAGTGTGTGTGTGTGTCGGTTTGTGTGCGTGTCGTTATTCACCAATAATGGCCAAGAGAAGTATTTGAGGCACTTTAACCGAGGTGTCAAGTTTAAGCCGTGTAGAGCCCAACACACAGCAATGCACAACAACAACAACCACCACAACAACTACAACAACCACAACATCCACAGAGACAACCACAACATCAATCACAGCATCAACCACAACAACAACCACAAGAACAACCACAACACCCACAGCAACAACACCCACAGCAACAACAACCACAGCAACCACGTGCTCCTTCAGGAACTGAAACAACCGGCATAGACCGAGAGTTCCTGAAAGAGGCACGGGGAGCTAAAACGTCGGGGGGGGGGGGGGGGTGGGGGGGGGGCACCGTGCCAAAAACAATGCAGAGCGGTGTGCACGCACGCACGTGCCGGAAAAACCCCCCAAACGCGGGGGCCCGGGGCAATTCACAAAGAAGTTGGAGAGGTCGCGGAGTGGAGGGACGGGGCAGGCACCATACGAACCTCTAACATTAGCCTGCTATGCCTGATATAAATGTTTTCTCCGTCTGCTTTCTTAGGCCTTCTCTGTGAAAGGGGAGGGAACAGACGGGGGGAGGGAGGGAGGGGAGGGAGGGGAGGGAGGGGAGGGAGGGGAGGGAGGGGAGGAATGCAAATGATAAATACACAAACAAAAGCAAAGCAAAAAGAACCGCGGCGCAAAACGGACACGGCACAGGGGACGTCGACTGGAATGGGCAAACCAAGGTGATGACGATGATGACGATGATGACGGTGATGACGATGATGACGACGATGATGACGATGACGACGATGACGACGACGACGATGACGATGATGACGACGACGATGATGACGACGATGATGACGACGATGATGATGACGACGATGACGACGATGACGACGATGATGACAACGATGATGACGATGACGACCATGACGACGACGACGATGATGACGTTGATGACGATGATGATGACGACGATCTCTGTGCTCTACAGGGGCAAGGGGGCGGGCACGCGGGGGTGAGCGTGGGGGGGAGAATGGCGGAGGATCTAGAAGCACATTTTTGTCGGCTCTAGTAACTATCTAAAACTACTTGTAATTCATTTGAGCAGGTAAGGCCCCATTGAGCTGTGCAGCTCTTTTTCAGAAGCCTTGACCTGGCTGTACACAAATGATAGCCCAACGAAGTGGACTATTATCATCATCGTCATCATAATCGAGTGGAAATTTATAGCAGCTGCCAAATATTCTGAACGTGTGACGTTGATTATAAATGTAGATGTGAAAAACCGAAGGACCCGGAGAAAAAATGTATGTGACCACAGGGAGAGAGAGAGACACCGCAAACTGCAAATATACAGCAGCAGGTGTCAAGGGTCGAAATCAAACCCACGACCTCCTGTATAACAGGCGAGGCAGTCAACATCTTCTAGCCACCGTGGTATTTGAATGTGCAAGTGATGTTTTGTACAACGAAACATGGAGGCTTGGACTCCCTCAAAATGAATAAATCTCCCTTCCCCACGTTTGTCTCTCCAGTTGTATGTGTTAATTGGCGCGACGACCCGGCGGCCACACGGCCTCCTGGGAGCTCGCCCCGTCACCAGTGTTGGTTCAACGGCAACCAAAACTCGGGGTTTCAACCTTCCGGGTCTCATCGGCAAACTCGGTTCTTCCCACAACGAACGCCACGCGGTCATTTGTCGAGGGCACTCTGCATTTAACGCTAACAAATAGAATTCGATATTGCAGCGAAGTCGGCGTGCGCTGCCCCCGCAGCGGTGCGGCTCAAGGCAAGCATCGGCCAAACTCGGTTCTGCCGGCGATCGGTGGCGGCGGCGGCGTTGAAGGAGCTCCCCTCACCTTCACCTCCTCCCCCTGCGCCTCCGAGCTCTGGACGGAGGTTTCCTCTTTGTTGTCGTCGTCACGGCCGACGCCGCCGCCAACAACGTCGTCGCCGCCGCCGTCGTTACCGCCGTCCGTCTTCTCCGCCCGATCGGCGACGTTCCCGCCCGCCGTCGCGGCGAGGGCGGCCCCGCCGGTCACAGTTGTGGCGGTGACGGTGGTGACGGCGGCGACGGAGTTGACGGCGTGGCGCTCGCCCCCCACGGAGTTGCGGGGGTCAGCGGTGGGGGGCGGAGGCTCGTCGTCGAGACCCCACGAGGAGCCGTCCTGGCTGCCCCCGCCCGGCGCTGGCAACGACATCGGTGAGAGACAAAAACACAATCGCCGTTTAGTGATTGTCAAACACAATCGCCGTTTAGTGATAGTAAAACACACTCGCCGTTTAGTGATAGTAAAACACACTCGCCGTTTAGTGATTGTCAAACACAATCGCCGTTTAGTGATTGTCAAACACAATCGCCGTTTAGTGATTGTCAAACACAATCGCCGTTTAGTGATTGTCAAACACAATCGCCGTTTAGTGATTGTCAAACACAATCGCCGTTTAGTGATTGTCAAACACAATCGCCGTTTAGTGATTGTCAAACACAATCGCCGTTTAGTGATTGTCAAACACAATCAGTTTCTCCAACACATTTATATATTTATGCGATCGAACCCAAAAACCTCGATTATGGATAATATTGGTCGCGAAAGCCTAATGCGTGTTAAGCAAACTACATTCACGTTCACTTTCAAACTCTACTCGCGTGCTGAGCGCGAGACTGCCAGCAGAGCCTTCGACACTTCACGTGTGCAAAAGATGTTTAACAAACACACACACACATATATACATGGGGGGGTTAGTTTGAAACAGATATGGGAGAAACGAGGGTAGGAGAGCGGGGGGAGGTGTCCAGCAAGACGCCTGCGATGGGCCAAAGTGTCCAGAGCGCCGGTGGAAGAGGAGGTATAGCCCGCCCGCCCGCTCGTTCCGTCGCCCGCCCACCCACCCGCCCGCCCGCCCACCCACCCGCCCATCCACCCATCCACCCGCTCGCGCGCATCACCTCCGTCGAGCGAGCTGGACACGGTGTAGCGCTTGCTGGCGGAGCGAGTGAAGTGTGGCGCGGGGCGGTCGATCTGCGAGCTGGCGGCGCGCGTCTGCGCCTGCGTGCGCCCCGAGTAGCGGAAGCGCGAGCCCAGCGTGAGGAAGCGGCCCTTGGGCGCCGGCTCCGGGGTCACCAGCCTGGCGGTGACGCGGCGACGACAACAACGACAACAACAACGGTCAACAACGACAACAACACGCCAAACAATAATAACAACAACGATAAACAATAACAATAATAGCAACACACAGATCCATAATAACAACAAGACCGATCAACAGCAACACTGATCAACAGCAACACACAGATCAATAACAACACGACACACACACCGCTCACCAACAATACACCAATCATTAACGCCAACAACAACAGACCGATCAACAGCAACAAGCAGCTCCAGGAGCAGCCAGGGCAGCAGCCACGAGCGCCCAGGTCACGGCGTCCCGGGGCCTGCCCTCCTCACTGCCCATCGGGAGGGAGAACGAAGAGGGGGGGGGGGGGTGAAGGACGAGCAGGGAGAGCAGGAGCAGGGGACAGGAGGAGGAGCAGGGGACAGGAGGAGGGGGCCGAGGGCGAGGAGGGGTGGAGGAGGAGGAGGAGTTGCAGGGGGAGGAAGATGAGGAGGGAGGGGAGCATGGGAAGGAGGGGCAGGAGGAGGTTTTCTCCTTCTTCTTGTCGTCGTGCGGCTGCTGACGGAGACGTGGAGCAACAGCGGTGACGGTCTCACATGGAGGCGGTCGAGCAAGCAGACAGCCACGTCAAGGAGCAAGCGGAGTCGTGTGTCATCATCGTCATCATCATCGTCGTCATCATCTTCGTCGTCGTCGTCATCATCGTCACTGCAATGTCTCTCTCCTTCGGACTTGTGGATCGGGGCGTTGCGTCGTTACACGTCGCTACGGTACGTTCTGGATGAGCACAGGCGTGGATCGTGAGCAGTTTCGTGGAAGATCACACCCAAGGGGTCTTCTGCGTTGGGTCTTTGAGGAGGAGGTGGTGCTGACGACGACGATGCCCCAGGTGAGTGTTGCAGGCCACCTCACAATCATTTACGTTCGTTTATTTTAGCCCCAGGTCAACGCGCTGCTGTGTGACGAAGGACTCCCCCCCCGCCCCTTATGCCGTGGTCAGCCATGGGCAGTTTTTTTTTTAAATCATAATTCACCACTCTGGTCAGTGTGCGTTGGCAAAAAGGAGAGTCTGGCCAGCTGTTCAGACGTCTGAGACCCCCCCCCCCCCCACGTCTGAGTTCCGTGTCGAGGCGCCATCGTCTCTGTGTGTGTGCATGCGTCTGCGTGCGTCTGCATGTGTGCGTCTGTGTGCGTGCATGCGGGCCTCACCGGAAGAAGGTGTGGTGCTCCACGCACACCTTCCAGAGGCGTTTGGCGGCGCGGTGGTTGGGCAGCTTGAAGCCGATGGTGCTCTCAAACTGGTCGAGCTGAGCGAGCGCGAGCGGGAGAGAATCAGAATCTTTATTTAGACCGGAGGAATCCGATGAGCTATGAAGCTCTTTTTCAAAGATGTCCAGTAATCGTACAGAAAGAGAGAGGGAGGCAATCAGTCACATGTCGCCGTGCGTGTCTGTGCATCTCTGTGTGTGGATATGGGTCTCTATGTGAGTCTATGGTTCTCTACGTGAGTCTGCGGGAGAGAGGTAGGCAGTCGGTCATGGGCAGAGCAGAAAAAGGAGGTCTTCTGCTCTGTGCAATGCACCAACTCTGACTGCCTGCACGGTGCCGTGCTAAAGGCCGGGCTGGCCTGCAGGCTGCAGGCCGGGCTACAGGCCAATTAATGGGGGCGCGTGTACGTCGAATTTCTTTCGCACAGCGTACGTTGCCAACCGTGCTAATCGGAGGTGCGAACGAGTCGTTTATACGCGTGGACGGAAACCGGAGCGCCCAAGTGCGAGGTGGCAACGCTCTATCCCGCACGGCTGGAACAGATGGGGCGATCATACGTGTGTACGTATGTTGGACTTCTTTCGCACAGCGTAAGGAAGCCAACCGTGCTAGTTGGAGGTGCGGGGGAAGGAACATTATTTGGCTGTCCCACCTTCTCCTGGCAGAGCCAGGGAGCACGGCTCCTCCTCGACGCCCATGGCAAGCGGAGCATCACGACGATCGTGCGGCGGTCCACTGACCCTCGCTGCTACTGCTGCTGCTGCCACTGCCGCTGCTGTTGCTACTGCTGCTACTGCTGCTACTGCCTGTTTCTGCTGCTGCCACTGCCACTGCTGCCGCTACTGTCGCCGCTACTGCCGCCGCTACTGCCGCCGCTGCTGCTGCATCCACAGTACCGGAGCGGAGGTGCCACGCGTGTGAGCGGCAGCGCTGCCACCGCCCGTCCCGCTCACCTCTCCCGGCCGGATCTTGATGTAGAAGTTGCTGCGCTTGTAGGAAATCTTGAGGATCTTGGGCCAGGGGAAGCGGTTGATGCGCAGACGGTCCTTGTAGACGAGCAGGCCGCTCGAGCAGACGCCCAGCGTGATGTCCACCCCCTCCGAGTCCTGCACGCGTCAGACAACCGCCCCCCCCCCCAACCCCCCCATCGCAGTTACGCCAACGTCCAACGGCCACCCGCCCCGTCTCGTCGCGCGCGTCTCCACGCCGCAGTGGCGCGGTTGTTGGCTTCCTGAAACATACGAACTCGAGCTTTTGTGTTACCACAATAACCCCAACAGCTCCCTGGAGCCGGTGGCGTCAGCGACCGCACGGCGACTCGCAATGCATCTCCGATGAGCCGGCGGTCTCGATGAGGCTGAGCAGCAGCTCAGAGATGTTGGGCACGCGACGGCGCACCGCACCACACCGCACCGCACCACACCGCACCACACTGCACCGTGTCGCGTCGCACCGTACCGCGTCGAGTGTCCAGGGAGCCGGGCGCTGCTCGTCCGCCGTTTACAACCCAGTGGGGGACATTTCCACGTTCCTGTGGCGCGAAGCGACGGCCCTGGCGGTGTTTGCTGGCGGTGCCGCGTGCTGCTCGGCACAAGCCGAGTCTGAACTCTTGACTCCTGTTCACTGTTATTTTTTTACCAGGTAAGGCCCCACTGAGCTACTATACAGCTCTTTTTCAGAAGCGCCCTGGCCAACACAAATGATCGCTCAACAAAGAGGCTCATCATCACATCTCAGCAACCAAATACTCTAAACGCGTGTTGATTCTAAATATGGCGTTTTTTTTCCGGGTCCTCTGGTTTTTCCCTCCACGGAAACCTCAACGACGCTCGGTAAACCTGGAGCTTTGCTTGCAACCTTTCCTATTGCGAGCCGATCGCCCAGCCGCCGCCGAGTCCCCTGTCCGGATCGACGATCGTGACTCAATCTCACCTTACCGACATTCGCATAATCATCGCCTCCCCAAGTTGCCGCCACGGCGATGGTGAAATTGTACGCACGACCACCGTGGTTTTAGACGCGGTGGCGTAATCCTAGTGGGAGCGGAACAGGCGCGGGCGGCGTTCAGGAGGGCTTGTTGGGGTAGGCCTGGTGGTAGCTGGGGGGGGGGGGGGGCGGGCAGGGGGGCGGCAGAGGAGTGTGGAGGCATCGCATTTGCGAAGACAAAGGCGGTGGCTGGGGGACTGTTCCTGGCGACGCAGATTACGAAGCGCCCACCACCAAAGTTGGCGGGCGTTACTCTCGCTGCAGACGGCGTACGACTGCGTGTTCATCCCAACGAAGCCAGCTACAGGAGGGAACGGAGGAGAATTGCGAGGGGCAGGAGGAGGAGGAGGCGGCTCTGCCCGGCAGCGGGAAGCCAAAACAAACAACGGACGGTGGTGGCGGTGACTCGCCTTGGCCTGGTGCAGGTCCACGCCGTACATGGACAGCTTCTTGGCGTTCTCCAGGAAGTGGCGCTCAGCCTCAGCCGGGGTTTGTCCCCTGAGGTTCACAGACACGGGGGTGGGGTGGGTGGTGAGACACGGGGGTGGGGTGGGTGGTGAGACACGTGGTGGGGTGGGTGGTGAGACACGTGGTGGGGTGGGTGGTGAGACACGTGGTGGGGTGGGTGGTGAGACACGTGGTGGGGTGGGTGGTGAGACACGGGGGTGGGGTGGGTGGTGAGACACGTGGTGGGGTGGGTGGTGAGACACGTGGTGGGGTGGGTGGTGAGACACGGGGGTGGGGTGGGTGGTGAGACACGGGGGTGGGGTGGGTGGGGTGGGTGGTGAAACACGGGGGTGGGGTGGGTGGTGAGACACGGGGGTGGGGTGGGTGGTGAGACACGTGGTGGGGTGGGTGGTGAGACACGGGGGTGGGGTGGGTGGGGTGGGTGGTGAGACACGGGGGTGGGGTGGGTGGGGTGGGTGGTGAAACACGGGGTGGGGTGGGTGGTGAGAGACGGGGGTGGGGTGGGTGGTGAGACACGGGGGTGGGGTGGGTGGGGTGGGTGGTGAAACACGGGGGTGGGGTGGGTGGTGAGACACGGTGGTGGGGTGGGTGGTGAGAGACGGGGGTGGGGTGGGTGGTGAGACACGGGGGTGGGGTGGGTGGGGTGGGTGGTGAAACACGGGGGTGGGGTGGGTGGTGAGACACGGGGGTGGGGTGGGTGGGGTGGGTGGTGAAACACGGGGTGGGGTGGGTGGTGAGACACGGGGGTGGGGTGGGTGGTGAGAGACGGGGGTGGGGTGGGTGGTGAGACACTGGGGTGGGGTGGGTGGGGTGGGTGGTGAGACACGTGGTGGGGTGGGTGGTGAGACACGGGGGTGGGGGGGGTGGTGAGACACGGGGGTGGGGGGGGGTGGTTAGACACGGGGATGGAGTGGGTGGTGAGACACGTGGTGGGGGGGGTGGTGAGACACGGGGGTGGGGTGGGTGGTGAGACACGTGGTGGGGGGGGGTGGTGAGACACGGGGGTGGGGTGGGTGGTGAGACACGTGGTGGGGTGGGTGGTGAGACACGGGGGTGGGGTGGGTGGTGAGACACGTGGTGGGGTGGGTGGTGAGACACGTGGTGGGGTGGGTGGTGAGACACGGGGGTGGGGGTGGGTGGTGAGACACGGGGGTGGGGTGGGTGGTGAGACACGGGGGTGGGGTGGGTGGTGAGACACGGGGGTGGGGTGGGTGGTGAGACACGGGGGTGGGGTGGGTGGTGAGACACGGGGGTGGGGTGGGTGGTGAGGACACGGGGGTGGGGTGGGTGGTGAGACACGGGGGTGGGGTGGGTGGTGAGATACGGGGGTGGGGTGGGTGGTGAGACACGTGGTGGGGTGGGTGGTGAGACACGTGGTGGGGTGGGTGGTGAGACACGTGGTGGGGTGGGTGGTGGGACACGGGGGTGGGGTGGGTGGTGAGACACGTGGTGGGGTGGGTGGTGAGACACGTGGTGGGGTGGGTGGTGAGACACGGGGGTGGGGTGGGTGGTGAGACACGGGGGTGGGGTGGGTGGTGAGACACGGGGTGGGGTGGGTGGTGAGACACGTGGTGGGGTGGGTGGTGGGACACGGGGGTGGGGGGGGTGGTGAGACACGTGGTGGGGTGGGTGGTGAGACACGTGGTGGGGTGGGTGGTGAGACACGTGGTGGGGTGGGTGGTGAGACACGTGGTGGGTGGGTGGTGAGACACGGGGGTGGGGTGGGTGGTGAGACACGGGGGTGGGGTGGGTGGTGAGACACGTGGTGGGGTGGGTGGTGAGACACGTGGTGGGGTGGGTGGGGTGGGTGGTGAGACACGGGGGTGGGGTGGGTGGTGGGACACGGGGGTGGGGTGGGTGGTGAGACACGTGGTGGGGTGGGTGGGGTGGGTGGTTAGACACGGGGGTGGGGTTGAGTGGTGAGACACGTGGTGGGGTGGGTGGTTAGACACGGGGTGGGGTGGGTGGGGTGGGTGGTGAGACACGTGGTGGGGTGGGTGGTTAGACACGGGGGTGGGGGTGGGTGGTGAGACACGTGGGGTGGGGTGGGTGGTGAGACACGTGGTGGGGTGGGTGGTTAGACACGGGGGTGGGGGTGGGTGGTGAGACACGTGGTGGGGTGGGTGGTTAGACACGGGGGTGGGGTGGGTGGGGTGGGTGGTGAGACACGTGGTGGGGTGGGTGGTTAGACACGGGGGTGGGGGTGGGTGGTGAGACACGGGGGTGGGGTGGGTGGGGTGGGTGGTGAGACACGTGGTGGGGTGGGTGGTTAGACACGGGGGTGGGGGTGGGTGGTGAGACACGGGGGTGGGGGTGGGTGGTGAGACACGTGGTGGGGTGGGTGGTTAGACACGGGGGTGGGGTGGGTGGGGTGGGTGGTGAGACACGTGGTGGGGTGGGTGGTTAGACACGGGGGTGGGGGTGGGTGGTGAGACACGGGGGTGGGGTGGGTGGGGTGGGTGGTGAGACACGTGGTGGGGTGGGTGGTGAGACACGTGGTGGGGTGGGTGGTGAGACACGTGGTGGGGTGGGTGGTGAGACACGTGGTGGGGTGGGTGGTGAGACACGTGGTGGGGTGGGTGGTTAGACACGGGGATGGGGGTGAGTGGTTAGACACGTGGGGTGGGAGTGGGTGGTGAGACACTGGGACCCACCGACTCTGTGAGTGTGGTGGGGCGGTGATGAGCGTTGCATGGCAAGGAGCGCGGCGCACACACCGGTGGGTCTTGTGCAGCTCGGCGATCTTCTCGAGCAGCTCGTGGGAGTGCGCCGGCGCGAAGCGGAAGCCCGAGGAGGCCACATAGTCGGCGCCGTGCTCATCGGCCTCGTGGTCGCCCAGCTCGGCCTGCAGCGCGTAGGAGCCCAGCAGCGCCAGCGTCACAAACGAGCACGGCAGCCGCCCCGACGACACGTCCTGACGCAGCTGCAGGCACACGTAGTACCTGGGGCGGGGGGGTGGGGGTTGGAGGGGAGGGGAGGAGGGAGGGGGGAGGTGGGGGAAGAGAGGGAGGGTTGGATGAGAGGGAGAGGGGGAGTGGGGGGCACAGGAGGTACAGGGCAGAGGGGAGGGATGAGGGGGGAGGGAGAGAGAAGGGGGGGAGGGGGAATAGAACGGCATCAGCACCTACGAACGCCCGACTTAGAAACGTCCACACTTACGAACGAACCGCCGTTGAGACGTACTCACGAACCGATCCGCGGAACTATTTTGTTGCGCGGAGCAATCCTCGGCGAGATGTAATGAGTCCCAGCATTCCCGCACGATGCGCGACAGTGAATCGTTCGACTCAAGTTAAGTGAAAATAAAACAGAATTTTATTCTTTCGACATTACTTTATTTTATGTTTCATTTACTATCCAGTATTTATGTATTATTACATGCAAATGCACAATATTTCTTATTCATGAGTTTAACATTGCTGCCCTTTTTCGTTGAACTGTAGGACATTTTTAAATACTGACCGAACGTACAATGAACGATTGAGTTCCGACATGCGAACACAACCCGACTTACGAACGGCTCTCAGGAATGTGTAACCCGTTCCCCAAGTCGAGGACTCCAAGTGAGCCCGGTCCGAGCCTCGCGATCGTTAGGACCCGCACACGCGTCGGCGACCACAACGCTCGCGTGCGCCGTCCGCCACGCAAGAAGCGGGTTGCACGTTGACCACCAAAGTCCCTGCGGCGCACGACGGCCGTTGGCTGCCCGTGACTCCGGACAAAACACGTTGTGCAAAAAGCGCGCAGATTTTACGGATCATAAAAAATTTGCGATTGTTTTTTCCGAAATACTTTATCGGGTAATAATTGTGAAGGGGCAGCTCCGGCAATGCCGCACGCGCCACTGCCGCTAAATGATGGTCACACCGCGACATGACGATGTCACACCGTGCGATTTTTTGCTGTCGCGCAGCGAGCCACCACGGCACTGCCCGTGTGCCACCACCACCACCGCCGCTCGCCTACCTAGTGATGTCCTCCGTGAGCTGCGACGGGTCCGGCGGATAGAACTTCACATTGAAGGAAAACGCCCACGGCCCATCTGGCAGACACGAGGAGAGCGGAGGGGGCAGAAGTGGCAGCGGCGACGGTTAGAGTCGGCCACGGCCAATCGCACGGGCGCAGTGCACCGTGCCGCGGAGCATTGTGGGGTAAAAGCAAACATCGGCAGAACCCCCGTTTTGCGTCATAGACACAAATATTATATTCATCCACCGGTCTCATTAGACCAATAATGCCAACCAGCAGCAGTATTTTCTGAAGGGAAACAAACACAGTACCGGTTGAGACGGAGTGCTCCTGCCAATGACATGCGGCAACCCAGCAGCCTGCTTCACGTGCAGCCGGGCCCTGCCCATGAGGGCCGAGGCCCAATTGCTGAAGTGATCTGTGTGATTGGCTTTTCGTTGTGTGTGTGTTCTCCCGTCTCTGTGTTGCCCCATCTGTCTCGCGGTGTACTACGTAGTTTTGTTCCATCATTGTTGTTAATGACCACGGAGTTTTCGAATAAATCCCATGGGCAAGCTGGCTCTGTGTGGGGGGGGTGGGGTGAATCTAAAAAATATTTCCTTCACCCGGCCCGCCACATCCAGCAGACCTCTCACTCTGGCTACCAGATGAGAGCCTCCTCCCAGGTCTCATGGGGACCCGTAAAGATTATTCAGTGAGAAATGAATCCCCGTTTATATGTACAGATATGACATCATGGTCAATCCACTGCTTGATGAAGGCCTTCCTCCCCAAGCCACTGCCACCTCTTAACGAATATATATCCATAAATAATTTGTGAGGGGATTACTTTTGGGAGGACACACTTTAACGAGCTAACACAACCGCGTGCGACTTGTGGGGGCGTTAGTTTCTCGGGTTAATTGCTAAGACTCACAAAGTGACCGGTGGAAGGCGGCATGGATGCAGAAAAAATGTGTCCCGTTTGGGAACGTGGCTATGCATTAGATTACGGTATTCCTTCGTTATTATAATTAAATTGCGGTATTCGCTCGTTATTAAAATTAGATTACGGCATTCTCTGCTAAATATTATTAGATTTTGATTTGAATATTTCGTGACTGCAGGAATCCATACTCTTTGGTCTTTCGGTAAAGTCACCTAGGTATGACGGACGCTTGTGTTGCGCCCGAAACGTCGCAATTATTTTATTTTATACCCACGTGACTTTACCGAAAGAACCAAAGAGTATAATTAGATTATGGTAATCCCTCATTACTATAATCATATTACGGTATCCCCCCCCCCCCCCCATTACTATAATTAGATTACGGATTTCCCTGGTTATTGTAATTAGATTACATCAATACCTCATTCTTATTGTTAGATTGCAGTATTGCCTCGTTATTGGAGTTATCTTACATCATTCCCTCATTCCAATAATTTGATTACGGTATTCCCTCGTTACTATAATTCGATTGTCATTCCTTCATTAGTATACTTAGATCACGTTATTCCCTCGTTATTGTAATTAGCTGACGGCATTCCCTCATTATTAACATTTGATTACGGTATCCCTCTTTCCGTGGTGTATGGTGCTGCCGTGCATCATGGGTAATTATAATCCCAGCCACCACCCTCGCCTGTCTGCTATACACAAACCCTCATGTGCATTGCTGCAGTGCATCATGGGTAAATGTAAGCACATCTCCACACACAAATAAACATTCGTGTGAGCCCATCACACTCCTGGCTCTCCAGATTAACAGAACCACACAGCGTGCGATTGCTGGAAGCAAACGCGTAAACTCATTGCCACGTGCCATTGACGAGAGCGCCCTGTGGAAGCTGTCTTCAATGTCTTCTGGATTTCGTGACGTAAACGCGTGAAGAATCCTTCACGGTGGGGGGGTTGGTCGGGCAGCGGTTATCGGCACTGCGCGATGAACGTGACCACCCTGAGTTCGTTTACCTGGCGACCGCTAATATCATTGGCGCGGGGGTTAACGGAACCGGCCCTCGCCATTCCACGGACCAAACCGCCAGCCACCGCCCATCTGCCCAACCCGCACTGACCAGCGTGGTGAAGTATGGTCAAACAACAACCCCACACGGTAGCGAGGCGGGCAGGCGGAGATATCTTTAATCCAGCAGCGGACTAACAGAGGGCAGGTAAGTTTAACATGTAGTCGGCTTTCGTGACCAATATTATCCACAAGAGGTTGTTTGGGTTCGATCGCGAACATTGTTTGTTGTAACTCTCTGACCCCCTGGCCGTTACTGGATATCTGTGATAAAGAGCTTTGCGGCTCATCGGATTTTCTCTGGAGATAAACGAAGACTCGGATTCTGAAGTCCATGCTGCGCTGGTTTGTCCGCTCGCGTCTATTGGGCAGCAACCGCTTTCCAGGGCGCGGCACCAAACAGCGACGACGCCACGCTACGGGCCGGATCGCCTCCGCTTGAGTTATCGTCCGTGGCCTCCCCATCGCAGACGGATGGACCGACGGACACAGACAGACCGACAGACGGTAGTGTCGGGCGGGCGGCGCTAAAGCGTTCGTGCTTTCAGCCTCGGTGGAAACCGTGAAAGTGTCTCCTGGGTTCCTGGCTGCTGCGTCCCGCCCCTGACGGGGATTCTAATCAACCTCCCACGGGCTCGAGTGAGCACCGAGGCGACACTTCATCTTCCGCTTACAGCCCTGTAGAGCCAGGAGGTGGGCCAATCACTGTTCATTTACCCACACAGTGATGCTGAATGTTATCGACCCCAGAGGGACTATGGGGTTGAGCCAACTCAATAGTAGGATGTGAACCCACGACCTTCCGATCGCTCTGCCACCAAGCCACACGGTAACCATCGCCCCACCGGCCCCCCCACGCCCCACTGGCCCCCCAACCAGCCCCCCCCAAGAGTGAGAATGTGGCAAAGTGAAACTTACTTCCGACCTTGCTTTTTAATATCCTTGGCAGGATCCAACCAATTCTGCAAAGTGACAGAGAACAAGAGATGAAGATTCAACCCGTGGGAACAAGGAAAAATCGACAGACCGCACGGCACTGTGGCGGACAAACGCAACACCACGCACAGCGGCACTTACCCACAAAGCGATGCTCATTTTATCGACCCAAGAGGGATTGTGGGCTGAGCAAACACCATCTCGCCGCGGTGGCTGGGAGATGTTGCGTCTCCTTCACCTGGTATACAGGAGGTCGTGGGTAGGATCCCAACCCTGACCCTGTTATATGTTTGAGTTTGCATGTTCTACCCATGGTCACGTGGATTTTCTGCAGTTTCCTTCACATTTACAATCAACCATGCATTTCTAGATTATTTGGCCGCGATACATTTCCACGCGATAAGTCACTTCGTTGGGCTATCATGTGTGGCCGTGTAACTTCAGAGGACTTTACCTGGTAAATAACATTGGTGAGTTTTGTTTTCATTTTAGTTACCTCCCCGCTCACACGCGTGGGTTTTCTGCGGGTACTACCGTTATGTACGAACAACAACTACGTTGCTTCACTTGAGCACAGCAACAATGACAATAATAATGATTGGTGTGAAGCCAACATGGTTTAGGGAAGTTGAGCCACAGCCCAGAGTCAAGATATAATCATCGAGCCGTGCTGCGGGTTCGAACCCAGGGTTGTCAGTGGTGGCAGCCCGGCACTCTGACCTCTGACCCACCCACGTGGCCTCCTCCTCCTTTCTGTCCGGTGCTCAAGCTGCACTGGCTTCCGGTTTGTCGGAACGAATACGTCATAAGGCCGAACTCATTACACACAAAGCGCTTAACATAAATGAACCACAATACCTTGCCGATCTCGTCAAGGAGCATAAACCATCGTCATGCAAACTCCACTCATCCTCGCAGCAGCAGCAGCAGCAGCAGCTTTTGGCTAGCCATCGAACAAGACGGTCAACCGCATCGCGTGGCGCTTTCAGATGCGCTTCTGCGCCGTCCTAGGACGCTGTTCCTTCCGATGCACTTTAAAATCGTCATCGCGATTGTCAAACACATTTCTTTACAGCTGCTTTTAGTGTTTAGTTTGTTGTCCTTCCCCGCATCTACGATTAGCGCGGTTGGCTAAGTACGGTGGTGGTACGGAAGACGTTCAACGTACACACGTACGTACTCCTCCTTCCCCGTGGCGACGGTAACGTAGAGAGGTCGTGAACCGAGACGGCCGGCGATGCCCTCACCTTGTGGTCGTGGGCATCCTGGAAGGCCAGGCCGAAGTAGTCCTTCTCCAGGAGGTTGAGGTGGTCGCACACTTTGTCGAAGAGCACCTGCCCCTTAGAGTGCTTCTGCTCACGCCACAGCCAAACGCAAGGGGCCGGCAAGGGGGCAGCAAGGGGGCAGCGCGCACGATCATGGTCACGTGCATTCAAGATCGAAACGTCGTCATGTCCGGAACCGTTAAGCAAACCACCTCCAACATAAACACCTCGACCACCTCCACCACCACCTCATTGGCGTTGTGTTCCACCCTCTGCCAGACCCCACAGCTGCTGCACAGGAGACACACAGTGACCTCAAACATCTTCCCTGACAGTCTCATCCCATTTGTTCTTAGATTCACACACTGACTGACCCATAGACTCACACAGAGACACAAAGACTCATACAGAGACACAGACTCACACAAATACCCATAGACTGACACAAAGACACTGACTCACACAGAGACCCATAGACTCACACAGAGACACAAAGACTCATACAGAGACACAGACTCACACAGAGACACAAAGACTCACACAGAGACACAGACTCACACAAATACCCATAGACTGACACAAAGACACTGACGCACACAGAGACCCATAGACTCACACAGAGACACAAAGACTCGTACAGAGACACAGACTCACACAAATACCCATAGACTCACACAGAGACACAGACTCACACAGAGACCCATAGACTGACACAAAGACACATTGACTCACACAGAGACCCATAGACTCCCACAGAGACCAAAAGACTCACACAGAGACCCATAGACACCCACAGAGACCCAAAGACTCACACAGAGACACATAGACCCACACAGAGAACCACAGACTCACACAAAGACCCAAAGACTCATACAGGGACCCATAGACTCACACAGAGACCCAAAGACTCACACAGAGACCCATAGACACCCACAGAGACCCAAAGACTCACACAGAGACACATAGACCCGCACAGAGAACCACAGACTCACACAAAGACCCAAAGACTCATACAGAGACCCATAGACTCACACAGAGACAGACTCACACAAATACCCATAGCCTAACACAGAGACCCATAGACTCACACAGAGACCCATAGACTGGCTACGGACCAGGCAACATCACCACCACCACATCATCACCCCCACCACCACATCACCAAATCACCAACACCACCACACCACCACCACGTGCCTGATGCTGGATAAGGGAAGAAGAAGAGGAATGTTTTGAATGACTTTCATTCTGGAAGGATGCAGCTCAGTGGCCCGAGGAGACGTGTCAGGATTTGGTCAAAGTGGCACCAGTTATTGTGGAAGCGGATGTGTGTGTATGTGTGTGTATGTACGTTTGTGTATGTGTGTGTATGTGTGTGTATGTGTGTTGAACTCCATTTGGTACAGATATAATGGGAGGCTGATCGATGCCCGGGTGCGATCAAGGGATGGCTCCCTATTGGTCAACCACGTTATGTATGCCGATGATTTGGTAATAGCTGCTCATTCAGAAGAGGAGTTGGAGACGCTGCTGCTGAGACTGGAGTGTGCCACTAAAAGGTGGGGCCTTACCATCAGCCCCACCAAAACTAAGCACCTGCCTGGGTATTTTGTACCATCGGACACTCCACCCCCACAACTCCCAATTAGTGATGGGGCAGTTGTGGAGAGAGTGGAGAGTTTCCCATACCTGGGCAGTGTGCTTATGAACCGGCCTCCAGTTTATCAGCAGAAGTCTCACTCCGAATCAGTCGAGCGGCAATATCTTTTCATCGGTTGCGTATCGCTGTGTGGAAGCGACCTGGTCTGTCGCTCCGCACGAAGCTTCAGGTATTCTCGGCCACGGTCATTCCCTCCCTTCTCTACGCTTGCGAAACGTGGACCCCCCTAGTGGAGCATCTTCGCCGGTTGGAACTTTTAGGCTGGCCTGCCTACGATCCATCCTGGGTTTAACCAGGCTGGATTGTGTGAGGAGCTCACAAATCCTTGAAAGATCTGGGCACAGTCCCATCGGTGAGCTCCTCCGGCAGGCAAGGCTGCGTGGCTGGGCTCATGTAGCCCGCATCCCAGCCACCGCATGCCTAAACAGCTTTTGTTCGGCCGGATCGAGGGGGCTAGACGGGCGCGGCACGGGCTGGAGAAGAGATGGAGTGATTGTGGTACAGGAGGACGTGGAGCTGAGTGGACTTGCCGGATGACTGGTACCAGCGTGTCAAGATCGGCCTAAGTGGAGGAGGCTCGTGAAGGACGCTACTGGTCAGTTGGAAGCAGTCGCCCTCCAACAACAACGGAGGGCGGAGGGAGCGACGCTCACAACAACGAGCGTGAGAGCGCCGGGGTGGCTAAGCACAGCAAGTTGGTACAGTAGGGGGCACAGGTGGTGCATCAGCCATCATCTCGGTCATCTCGGTCAGTCGACCCGTGGCACCTGGGTCTGCCCCGTGACCTCCTGCCAGCGGGCGTTCGACACTTCCCGTGGCCTCAAGGTGCACTTGGCCTGGCACAAGCATCGTGGTGACGTCACCAGCCACTTAGTGGCGAATGGCGGTTGTTGTTGTTGAACTTCTTTTGCGTCGTACGTAGCCAACCGTGCCGATCGGACGTGCGGGGGAAGGACAACAAACTAAACATGAAAAGTAGTAAAAAAAAAAATAGTTTCAATTTAGAGATCGTTTAGGATGTTGGGCTGACACAGCTCAAAACGAGTCACAAACGCAGCGACAAACGTACGGGCCGACAGCAAATGCACATTGAGTGACAATAAAACTATAAACTACATTTTCATTTCACCAGACAAGGCCCCACTGATCTGCTAGGTAGCTATTTTCTCACAAGCGACCTGGCCATCCCAAACGATAGCTCAACGAAGTGGCTTATCGTTACGTGGAGATTTATAGTAACAGTCAAATATTCCCAACGCGTCACGTTGATTCTAAATGTGGAGGGAAAAAATCCACGCGACCACGGGGAGAGAGACACGCAAACTCAAAATATACAGCAGGCGTCAGGGTCGGTATCGAACCCACGGCCTCCTGTACACCAGGCGAGGGAGTTAACATCTCCGAGCCACTTCGGTGTCTACGAGTAAAGACGGCGAGATCGCGAGCCCCTCCCGTTCACGTGACACGTCCTCCCAAGATTTACAGCGCCAGTTATAAACGATTGTCGGTAGCGCCGGCTCCTCACCGCCTGCGAGAGATGCAATTGGCACGAACGACAGCGGCGGCGGCGCTGCGTGTCAGACTAGCTCGCGTTATATTACACTATCTTCTTGGTTCTTTCGGTAAAGTCACGTAGAAGGGAAGTAATAAAATAATAAAAATAATAAATTACACTAGGCCAGCACGTGCGAGCGGCAGTGTGCGTGCGTGCATGTCCGCGCGCGCGCACGTGAAAAGCGGCAGTGTAGAGGTTAGCGCTGAGATGCGCTGCAAACCGGCGGACCTGATGCTCGATTCCCGCTGACAACCAACACCAGTGACGATGAATTGGCGCTGTAAAACAGATGATTGTCCGGCAAAAACAACCCCCTAACCTCCTTGGTGGTGCCGGACGATAACGCTGTGATGGATGGGAGCAATGCCATGGAGGGAAGGCCAATTCCAAAATCGGCTATGGGGCTTGTAGCCACCACAGTGGCCAAATGGGGGCTCTGGCCGTGCGCGAGGGGCTGGTAACCCCTCCACCATCAATTCAACTACCACTGAACTACGTGCAAAATACAAAAGGAAGCTTGTGTCGGAGGGCCCGGGAGACCGGCGTCTATGATGTCTCCTGGCAAAATCCCATTTGGCGGAGCCAGGAGACTGAATCGTTATCATCGGGGTTCCTCCAGAAACAGCAAACAGCCACTGCGAGTCGCCACGTGGAGAGGCTGCCACTCCTCTGTCGGGAGCTGGACCGGTACCACCTGGATCTCTGCGATATTCACCATGAGGGGTGGACAGTCCTCTACTGTCAAATAACAGGGAAGGGGCAATTTTTCTGAACAAAAGAATGAAGGGGGCGTAGGAAAGTGGCGGTGAGGTGTGGGAAGCTGTCAGCCCCAGGCTACTTGGGGCTCGCCTTCCCATCAACCGGAGGCGAGGAGTGGTGGTCGTGGTTACTTATGCCCCCACCGACGATGAACATCAGTGGAGGGATGCAGGCAAGGCCCATGAGTCAGATACCTTCTATGACCTGACACAGATGCAGTGGTCTGGACCACTGGATGGGTTCCACAGGATTAGAAGAATGCCCTAGTGGTCCCCTTCTTTAAGAAAGGGGACCGCACAGACTGTAACAACTACAGGGGCATCTCCCTCCTCAGTGTGCCGGGAAAGGTCCAGGCATGCTGAGGAGAAGCTTGCGGAGCCCAAACGCGATTTCAGGCTAGGGCGGTCATGCACAGATGCAATATTTTCTGTGCGTCTGCTTCAGCAGAAGTGTGGGCAATTCCAACAGGACCTACATCTCTGCTTTATTGACCTGGTCAAGGAATATGATACCATCAATAGACCTGGGCTCTGGTCTATTCTTCGTGCTTTCTAAGTCCTTGACTCTCTGCTCACAATCATGATGGTGGGCAGGCCCGGGTAAAACTACGTGGCCAGGAGTCTGAGCCATTCCCTGTTCACCTTGGGGTGTGATAGGGATGTCCTCTGGCTCCTACATTATTGAACATCTTTTTCGACCACATAGTTCGTGAAGCCTTCAATGCCATCAGCCCAGTCATCTCGAGTCAGTCAAGCTATAGCATCTGGGTCTGTCCCGTGACCTCCTGCCAGCGGGCGTTCGACACTTCACATGGCCTTAAAAGTGCACTTAGCCTGGCACAAGCACCGTGGTGACGTCACCGCCACTTAGTGGCGGTTGTTGTTGTGCGTGGGAAGCGGCAGCGGTTAGCACTGTGGTGCGCTACGAACCCGCGGACCCGATGTTTAAGTCCCGTTCACAACCAACACCAGTGACGATTAACTGGCGCTGTAAATGAGATCGAATAATCGTCACCGGTGTTGGCCGTGAGCGGCAATCGAACCCGGGTCGCCAGGTTCGGAGCGCAGCGCGCCAACCGCTACACTACCGCTCCCCACCACACACACACACACACCGCGGCGGCGGCGGTGCAAGCAAGGGGAACGATTCATGCCGGCGCTCGTTAGCAGGCGGTGCGCGCACCGCGGCACGGCCACTCACACCCCAACCCCCCCAACCCCCCCAACCCCCCCAACCCCCCACCCGCCGACATGAGGGCATGATGGGCAGCAGGTGGGCAAGGCCTCCCCCGAGGCCCGGCCTAGCCGCGCTAATTGGGCCGCGCCAGATGCCGCTGCCGAGCGTGATCGAGTGGAGGATTTTTTGTTCAATCACAAACCACATGATCTCTTTCTTCCTTTCCACTGGCAAGTGGTTAACCCACCAAGAGTTTGTCTCCTGAGCCCGGCACGCGATTAAAGGCTTGCGGGGGACGTTACTTGGTGGCAACCATTCAATGACATCATCCAATTTAACGGGGAGTAGGCTCTCACGACAATTCCTCACAGAGACGGGAAAGGATTCCACACAGGGGCAGAAAACGATCCCTCACAGATGTGCGATGGAGAGAGACGTGGGATGGGGATGGAGAGAGACGTGCGATGGAGAGAGACGTGGGATGGAGTGATGGCGATAAGCGGCGATGTGGGGGGGGGGGGGGGGGCATTCGCGGGGATTGGCGCTGGGGACGCGGGGCCTCACCTCCACCTCGCACTCGTACTGCGCGCCATCCAGCAGCGCCACCTTGCACGCCATCGCCGACGCGGCACCCTTGGCCTTCTTGCTCGCCCGGGCCTGGGCCTGGGCCTTTGCCGCTGCCGCGGGGGTCGACTCGCTCGCGTTGCCCTTCGCCGGCGCCTGCCCACAGAGTTCGCACGCGAAAAAAAACACCACACTGCTGATGAGATACTGTTTGTTAAAACCGGTCAAGGGTTTGGCTTGGACCGAATCGGGGTGCCACGGTGGAGAGATGTTGACGACCTCGCCTCGTACGCAGGATGTCATGGGTTCGGTCTGGACCCTCATGCCTGCTGCTGTATATTTGGAGTTTTTAGAAACGTGCGTTGAGAGTGTTTGGCTGCAATAAATTTCCACACGATGAGCCACTTCGTTGAGCTATCATTTGTGGCCCGGTCGCTTCGGAAAAAGAGCTGTGAAGCTCAGTGGGCCTTGCCTGGTAAAATAAAAAAAGTCAATAGTTAGTAGAATCAATGCTGCTGAAAAGTATTCCCTTCCGGAAGGCCATTGGGGGCCAATGGGTTGCGTATAGATTAAAGTGTTTCTCATGTGTAGAGGTGTTTGTGTGGATGTTAAACTTCTTTCGCACCGTACGTAGCCAACCGCGCTCATCGGAGGTTCCAGGGCGGGGGGGGGGGGGGAAGGACACAAACTAACCGCAAAAAGCACTTCTAAAGAAATTAGTTTGTCATAGCTCCCAGTGGCTCCCTAATATCGGAAGGAAGAACGTTCCAGACGGCCGCAGTAGCGCATCTGAAAGCACGCGATGCGTCGCATATATGACAGACAGAGACAAAGATCGCCCGTGTAGTCACACAAACTGTTGAGGCAAGTGCTGGCTAACGAAGGACAGCATGACAAATGAGGGGGTGGGTGGCTAGCACCATGCCCGGCCGCCTTTGTCTCCCCAATGCTGACGTTGATCCCCCGTGTAGCCTTAACAGACTGTTGGGGCAAGTGCTGTTAGCGAGTAGCACCTACGAGGCCGGCACGGCACACGAAAGGGGTGGGTGGCCAGCACCACGGCACGCCACCTCTTGTCGACCCAGCGCTGACGTTTAAACACTGTCCTGCGCGTCGTTCGGCACGATGTGTCCGACGTTTCGCTCCACGTGCTGGGAGCTTCTTCAGGAAGTGATACGACCCGAAGGCGTGCGGCGGAGCTTTAGTCGTGCGGCTGCTGATGGAGACGCGGAGCTACAGCGGCGACGGTCTCACACTGAGGTGGTCAAGCAAGCAGACAACCACGTCAGGAGCCAGCGGAGTCGTGTATCATCATCATCATCATCGCCGTCACTGCGGTGTCTCTCTCCTTTGTACTTGTGGATCGGGGTGTTGCGTCGCTACGCGCTGCGTACCGCCTCCATTCTGGATGGCCACAGTCGCAACACTGCTGGAGAGTTTCACATTTTCCACTTGTGCATCATCATCATCATCAGGTATTGTGGTTTGTGCAGCGGATACAGTTTAGGGTGGACCGGGAGCAGCTTCGTGGAAGATCAAACCCCAGGGGATCTTCTGCGTTGGCTCATTCACAACAAGGCGGTGTTTGTTGGGAGTTGTCTTGAACTCCATTCAGCTCTCCGAGCCACATCGGGGGGTTCAACTCACACAACCGCGGGATCCCACACAGGGGTAACACAACCTGCTCCACCCCTCCCCTCGTCAGGGGTAACACAACCAGCACCACCGCCACCCCCCGCTATCCCCCCCCACCCCCCGTCAGTGGCGCACGTGAGTTGCTTTGTCATCACATCATGTGACTATCTAAACGGAAACAGCGAAAATATGTTCCAGCCATTCTCCACCAATGCATGACCGCGGGTCTCCGACGCGGTCATACTTCACCACACGCTGGCGGGTGCGGCTCGGTGAAGGAAGGAGGTTGCGTCCCCAGGACCGGTTCCGATATCACTCGCCACCCATCGTCAGCCACGGCCGCGAATCAAACTCTCCTGTCGCTGGGTTGACAGCTCCACAGGACCTCTGCGCCACCGCGCCAACGCCACGCAAACGATTGTACATGCGTCACGCCGTCACCGCTCGTGCGCACAAATCTCACGGCCGTGAATCGTCTCAAACGATTCATCGCACGCGGCGGGTGCCCCTAAACTACTACCACTATGTATTTGACGGGGTAAGGCCCCACTGAGCTGCGTAGCTCATTCTCAGAAGCGACCTGGCCATGACAAGTGATAGCTCAGTGAAGTGGCTTATCATCGTCGTGTGGAAATGTATAGGGGCAGCCAAACACTCTGAACCGGGGAAAACCGGAGGAGCCGGAGAAAAATCCACGCGACCACGGGGAGAGATATAGAGACACGCGAACTCAAATATAGAGCAGGAGTCAGGGTCGGGATGGAACTCACGACCTCCTGTATACAAGGCAAGGTAGTTAACATCTTGCCACGGGGGGGGGGGGGGGGGGGTGCAACCGTTCCCCTTCAGGCCCCCCTTTTCCCTGGGGGGGGGGGGGGGCGGCCCTCTGCATCTCATTCGCGTGGATGGAGTGACTCTGCGTTGTGCGGGTCGAGTGCCGCATCATCCATCAAGCGATCCCCCGCTCGGGCCAATCAGCTCACGGCGTGAGTCACGGGGAAGTGGGGGGGGGGTGGCCACGAGAGCGTCGTCGTGTAAATCCTGACACCGTCACGGCCGCCGGGTGCGCCGCGCCGACGGTGGCTCGCGTGACATCGATGCCGCTGTCGGTGTTCACCGCAGCTTCAGAGCTAAGACCCAAGGGACCAAAATGCCAAGCGGCCAGCAACATACAGCACTCTCATCAAAGTTGTAATGCTGATGAGCGTGTAAAACGGGTCTTGGAACTGAGCAGCAGGGTTACTGTGACAACCTGGGGAGGTGGACAATGGGAGGGCGAGGAAAGACGCAAAGAGAAGTCAGGTGACCGGCAGTGTGGTGAGTGGGTGGGTGAGCGGGTGGGTGAGGGAATGAGTGGGTGGGTGAGTGAGTTGGTGGGTGAGCGGGTGAGTGAGTTAGCGAGTGAGTGGGTGAGCGAGTGAGTGGGTGAGCGCGTGAGTGGGTGAGCGAGTGAGTGGGTGAGCGAGTGAGTGGGTGTGTTGTTGTGACTGGCCAGGCATGGTGCTGCCCAACCACCCCCTCGTGCGCTATGCCCTGGCCTTCATAGGTGCTGCTACTCGCTAACAGCACTCTT